ATACACACACATACATACACACATATACACACACAAATACATACATGCACATACACATATACATACATGCACATATACACATATACATGCACATACATACATACATATACATATACATACATACACACATATACATATACACACACATATATATACACACACACATACACACATATACACAAATACAAACATACACACATATACATACACACATATACATATACACACACATACATACACACATATACATACACACACAGACATACATACACATATACACACACATACACACATATACACACACATACATGCACACATACACACATACACATACACACACACAAATACATACATACACATATACAAACACACATATTATACAGTTTAAAAAATAAAAATCTTTTTAAAAAGTGAAGTGAACAGAGAAACCCTGTCTTGCAAAACCAAAAAAAAAAAAAGTGAAGTGAAGTGTGACGAAGTGTGTCCGTAACTTGGTGGGTATGGTGAATACAAGCAGGTCCCTGGCGCTCACTGGCTGGCCATTCTAACCAGCTCGGTGAGCTCCAGGTTCAGTGGGCCTTGTCACAGAGCGCGGTGGAAGCAGCTGAGGAAGACAGCAGCACTGGCCCCCAGGCTCCAATGCATACCACATGCACACACCCACATGTGCACCCCACATGTGCACACCCCACATGTGCACACCCACATGTGCACACCACATGTGCACCCCCACATGTGCCCCCCACATGTGCACACCCACAGAAGGAAACCATGTGGGGGCGTTCCTGGACAGGGGGATCCACATTGGAGAGTGCACTGCTCTTGCACTCACATGGCCCAGCTCACAACCCTCTGTAAACTCCAAGGAAGCCTGCACACACGCCAAGTCCCAACACCAAACGAGTAAAAATAATAAGACAAATAATAATGAGCAGCCAAGTTCACAGACCAGCTCCGGTGTTAGCACCAGGAGCCTAGCTAGAGGGATGTGACTCATCCCACAGATATGGCTCACTAATAGGAAATTAAAACACAATACACTCCATAAAACCTCTGCAAAATGGTTGCTCTTGATTTATTTTCTCTAGTCAGGAACTTCCTCCTAAATCACCCCGTAGGTTAGGGCAGAAGCCAGCTAACTACTCACCATGCCAGCCTCTAGCCAACTCATGCAGGAGATGTGGTTTAGTGTTTCTCTGCCTTCCTAACAAGTCAGAGGGACAGCACTAAGCACTGCTTATGACTTTACAGCATGTCAAACCTCAGGTTCCCAGTGAGAAAGGTGCCTCACTGGCCACTGTGGTGCTAGAAGCCCCACTCCAAAGACGGACATTGCCCACTGCCTGCAGTTTTTCTTTACAATAGAAGTCTTAGACCTTTTCTTCTTCTATATTCCACACAAACCACAGACTATAACCTGCTGTTGACTTCCAGGCTTGTTGAGACAAGGAAAACAAGCTTTCCCAGACCTGACTCATCCCACAGATATGGCTCACTAATAGGAAATTAAAACACAATACACTCCATAAAATCTCTGCAAAATGGTTGCTCTTGATCTATTTTCTCTAGTCACGAACTTCCTCCCAAATCACCCCGTAGGTTAGGGCAGAAGCCAGCTAACTACTCCTGAACAAGCACTGGACATAAAATTGGAACTTCTTCACATTCAATGCATTTGTCTAAAGCAGACTCAGTGGTTCTGAGTTTCCCAGGAGAGAGCAGTCACTGAGAAAGGACCGACATTCTTGAATATCCAGACTAAAATCTAGCCTGACCTCAGAGCCTGCATATTAACAGCACCTGTTCTGGGGAAGCCCGGCGTCCAGGCTGGGGTGAGCCTGAGGTGAGCGACTAATTAGAGAAGTCTTTCCTGGAGCCACCAAGGAATCTACTCGTGAATAACAATGTACGTTAAACAGGAACACCATAACACTTACTCTCTGCTTTGAATACTGCCAAGAGATGATCTGAAATTAATTCTTCTACCGAAGATTCCATTTTCCTTTCTCCATCAATTATCCAAGGAGTCTGTGGTAGATTCCTGGAGTATTTATTGTATCTGCCTGCCAAAGAAATATCAGGTAGTTGGATTGAATGCTGTGATCAATATATTAGGATAAAAAGGGAAGTAACTAGTAAATTTGATATTCTACATGCTAGGATATAAAATGAGGCCTAGCCTTTAACTAAGAAACAGTCTAACTTGGGAAGCCATAACACAGACATGGAGATAATTAAGTAAGATTTAAAGTAACAATAGAATAGATCCCTTAGAAACACAGAGACAGTGTGTCAAGTGAGTGAAATGATTAATAATCTGACTCACTGGAAGAGTTACATGATATTGTGGAATACAACAATGACCATAAAAAAAACTTGCTTTTACAGATAACTAATTATAATTCAAATATAATGAACATTGGTGATGATGTATTACAGAAAATTAAATTTGTGAAAAGTTTAAGAATCACTAAGTTAAAAAAAAAAAAAACCCAAGAAACTCCCTAACACATTGTGACTCACTCACTGCCTTATGAATAGTCCCCACAAGAGAGCTGCTGCCCCGGCCTGAGGAGGCAGCAGGGTCCAGAGCAATTTCCTTCAAGCTTTCCCTAGGAAGCAACTGTAACTTTTAAAAGAAAACAAAACCCTGCCTGCCATATAGCAATTAGGAAAGTCGATACAACATTGTCTTTCTCTCTGGATAAAGCCAAGTGTTTAGTCAAGGAGAGTATAGGAACATTAGCTCTTGGAAGTCTGTGTCAGGTCACTGGACACCCTGGTCTGCCTGGTTTTCTCTGCATCTGGTCCTCAGGAGGAACAAGAGGAAGAACAGTGGACGTGATCAGCAAGGGGATGACAGGGCTCCTACATTCTAGATGAGATAGTTACCAGCAACAAAAACAGCACCATGAGTACACTCAATTCCAAGGACAGTGCACACAGTCTTTGGTGAGTTTGGAGGACAAGGGAATTGCCTGCAAAACAAAATACACTTGATGGGCACTAATATTTGAGACATGCGTCATAGAACAGATGAGTCAGCACTGTCAACTCAGAACCTGAGCCCCAAGGGCTCTACCTCTCTCCACCTTTCAAGTTTTAAAGCAAAAAGGATTCTTCAGGCTTTTACTTTTCAATTTTTACTGCGTGGTGATATTGTGTCCCCCAATATATTGTGCACCCTAATAAACTTGTCTGGGGTCAGAGACAGAACAGCCACTAGACAGACATACAGGCCAGAAAATGGTGGCACACACACACCTTTAATCCTATCCACTTGGGAGGCAGAGATCCATCTGGAACTCTGTGAGTTCAAAGCCACACTGGAAACAGCTGGGCATGGTGATACACGCTTTTAATCCCAGGAAGTGATGGCAGGAGGCAAAAAGGTATATAAGGTGTGAGGACCAGGAACTAGGGCCTGGGAAGCTTTTAGGCTTCTAGCAGCAGCTCAGCTGAAACCCATTCGGATGAGAACTCAGAGGTTTCCAGTTTGAGGAAACAAGATCAGCTGAGAAGTTGGCGAGGTAAAGTTAGTTGTGGACTGTTCTGTTTCTCTGATCTTTCAGCATTTACCCCAATACTTGGCTCAAGGCTTATTTTTATTAAGACCTTTTAAGATTCATGTTACATTACTGTTTTGTTTTAAAGGTTTATTTTTATTTTATGTGTATGGATATTTTGGGAATTGATCCTAGGTCCTCTGAAAGAGCAGCCAATGCTCTTAATCACTGAGCCATCTTCCCAGTCCCTAGGTTCTGATTATTTTGAGATAGGGTCTCACCCTGTATCCCAAGTTGGTCTGGAACTCACTATGTTGAAGTCTGGCCACAATCCATTTGCCTCAGCCTCCTGAGGTCTAGGATTATAGGCATAAGCTACCATATCAGCTGTAGACTACCATCCCTTCCCTCCCTCCCTCTAAGATTTATTTTATTATGCAGAGAAGTATGGTACACCTCTCTAATCCCAGCACCCAGGAGGCAGAGACAGGCTGATCTCTGTGAGTTCAAGGCCAGCCTGGTCTACAGATCGAGATCCAGGACAGGCACCAAACCTACACAGAGAAACCCTGTCTCAAAAACCAAACAAGCGGCAGAGCCAGGCGGATCTCTGTGAGTTTGAGGCCAGCCTGGGCTACCAAGTGAGTCCCAGGAAAGGCGCAGAACTACACAGAGAAACCCTGTCTCGAAAAACAAAAAAACAAACAAACAAAAAAAACAAAACAAAACAAAACAAAAAAAAACCAAACAAGCAAAATCAAACCAAGATTTATTTTTACTATGTGTATAACTATTTTGCCTGCATGTACATCTGTGCACCAGATGTGTGCCTGGTGCCCAAGAAGGCAACAAACGGGTGCTGGGAATCACACCTAGGTCCTTTGCAACAAGTGATTTTTAACCTCTGAACCGATATTCCAGCCCTGGAGAACCACTTCTAACACACAGCAGTGGCACTAAGTAAATTGGGGCTTTGATGTCGCTCTTCAGTCAGGAGACCTTATCTTCCCCAGAGATAATTTCTAACAGTCTTCAGATGTAGGGGAAAACCCACTTATACAAAGCAGAAGCCCCTCCAGGCTCGCCAGCCATTTTCCTCTCTGATCACAGGCTGCTGCCTTGCATGAGCCTTGACTGATTGGTAAAGCTGTTCTGAAGTGGGTAACGGCTCCCACGTGTGGGGACCTGCCCTACCGTGGGGAGTCCTCCACTACTGTCACCCTCTCTTCCTTCTCATTTCAACTGTGACCTGGAGCCAGAGAAAAGTGTAAAGTTGGGATGCCATTCTCTTAGCTAATGGACTTCAATCTGAGGACAGGGACAGGGAGGAACAATTTCCCCTCTGTCCATCATTTAGGAGTTTCCAAAGCCATGAACTGGAGGCTACCTGTAAATAATTAAATTCTGATTTAACCCCAAACAGGTGGCTTGGAATTTTTCTATGATTTCCTAAGATTCTTTAACAATAAAATCATTTTGAAACCCAAGAACTGGTATTTATATAAAGTATTCTTTTTAACTTGAATTTTATGTGTATGAATGTTTTGTCTGTGCACCATGCGCCTGCCTGGTGTCTGCAGAGGCCAGAAGAGGGTGTCAGATCCCCTGGATTAGGTTCTAGATGGCTGTGAGCTGCTGCCTGGGTGCCAGAACTGGACCTGATCCGTCTCTCCAGCCCCTTGATAAAGTACTCTTTACTCTTTAAAGTTTAATGAAAATATTTCCATCCTGAGAATCATTTTTTTAGTTCATAAATGATAAGAACCCCTCATCATGATGTCATTGCTTGATATCTATTCAAGGATCTTCTAGAATGAAAATTACAATAATTAGGTTTTTTTTAAAAAGTACTGATAATTAAAATATAAAATTTATTGTGTTTCTACATATTTTAACAATTTATATTTTAGAAAAGGGCACTGATGCCCAAAGAAGAAGTTGACATAGCTAAGTTCCATCTGTGGGATACAGCACAGACCTGAAGCCAGGTCTCCGAACTCTCCGGCCAGTGCTCTTTCTGTGCGAGCGAGCGAGCGAGGACACTCCTGAGCCTCCTCTCCTCTTTAGAGATGCCACACTAGAAAGTACCAGATTTGGGAAGTAACAGGAACAGCTCTTGGCCCATGGGCCATTAAATTACTCAGCTGAAAACCCAGGTGAGGCAACTCCTTTTTTGGAATTAATATCCTCTCAAATTCAAAAGCTTGGGCTTTGGTCCCAGTGGCTGAACCCAGGCCTCAACTCTGCCAGGTAGGTCCTGACCACCGAGTCACACTCTGGCCTCCTCTTCAGTAAGATAAGGAAGTCAGACTTGATTCACACTGTTAATCTGATAAACATTTACTGAGAACTGCCACTCATCAGGTCCTCAGGGGCCATGAGGAGGAGGACTAAGACGCGCACAGCTTGGGTGAGAGCCAGGCTTGTCTGAGGTAATCCAGAGCGCCTGTTGTATTCCCATGGTTTCTAAAGTGACAACACTTTCTTATTTCTATACTTACTCGAGGAAATCGTCTTCTTTTATCTTATTCAAAGCTTTCAAAACGGCCATTCTGGTGAACACTGACTATATAGGGTGAAACAAAAAGACATTTTATCTAGACAAGAGCTGAAACACAAATGATCTGAGGAATTATATCATCCTACATATTAAAATCAAGAAATACTTCATAGTCCCAAGAACGTAAGTCAAACTTAAATGCTCATAATGTTGGTCTGTTTCTGACAGGCCTCTCAAGGCCCTTCTTCTCTCTATGTCCTTAATAAAAACAGCCTCAGCAGATCACGGCACCAGGAAGAAAGGAGAAATGGATATTTGTGTCCAGCTCACTTTCTCCATTTTGTTCAGTACTGTGCACCAAAATCTTTTGTCAGAGTATTTTACCACAGCAATAGGAAAAATAACTAAGGCAGTATTAGGGCCACTTGTTTTGATCACACGCTGACACTCCCAACACTGTCAATAAAGTTTGATTTGAATAAGAGGGTGGAGCTAGCTACGAGCTGACCAAAATTAGCCATAGAGGTTTTGGAGGACCAAGGACATATAGAGAGACACAGGAGGTAGTAGGGTGGGGCTTAGAAAGATTGCTGGCCCTTTTAGATTGAGGAAGGAGAGCGTGAGGAGGTCACTGGTCACTTCTCTGCCGCTCCTCTGACCATTCAGGTTCTTACCCCAACGTCTGACTCCAAGTTTTTATTCATAAAGGATAATTAGATATGCTTCGGTCACTGTTGTGTGATGAACCTCATCATGTAGTTCTTAAGCCTTTGGCACTGATTTGTGGGAGGAATGTGGAAGAGTTTGGACTCTGGGTTAGAGAAGCTCTTGAATGCTCTAAGCAGAGCTTAATGATGTTGGAAGGGACCAAAACAGCTTGACCACACAGCTGCCATGACAGGCTTAGAGGCCCAGACACAGCTTCCAGCAGGCGACACCTCGACCCAGGAGGAGACATCAACTGACCCCACCCAGTGAGGCCTGCATCTAAGAGGGCCTGCACCTGACATTCCAAACATTCCCTATACCCTAGACAAATGTCAGCCAATCAGAGTCCTGAACCCTGGAAATCCCTCACCCCAACCTCTGCTATGATACCCGGCCCCCACCCTGCCCGAGCTCTGGGCTCTCTGTTCTCACCACTGCATCGAACAGACAGAGAGTCAAAGCTCTGAGTTTGAAAATAAAGGCTCTTTGCTTTTACATAGGGGTTCAGTCTCTGTGGTTGTCTTTGGGGGGTCCCCGAGATCTGGGCATAACAAATGATCCATTTTCGAGGAAGCTTAAACAATCAGAATGCTGAGGAAAACGTGGGAGGTAGTGGGCTGGCTCCTGAGGTGTCAGAACGGAACAAAGCTCCCTCAGGAACTGGATAGGGGACATTTAGGGCACATTGTGGCCAAGAATCTGGCTTCATTCTTCCCATGTAAGAATTTCAGTACAGCTGAATTTAAAGGGAATGGAGTAAGCCGTTCAGCAGAGGAAATTTCAAGACAGCACAATCGGCTGAGAAAGCAGCTGTGATTACTAAAGAGACAAGAGAAGCCTCCTGCCCAGCGCTGCGCCAACAGGAAAGGCGAGGGGAAGCCCTCCACTGGAGGTTCCATCTTGTCAAGATCCTAACTCACTGGAGGGAGGAAAACCTTATCGAAACAGCACTCAGCTCCTTGAAGGAGCTGCCAACGGACGTCTGCCCAGGGTCGGCACACACTGAGACAGCTGTGGGCCGTCCTGATTGGCAGCGGAGCTGGCAGCAGCACATCCACATGGTGCTGTCTCTGCAGGACAGAAGATGCAAGATTAAGGGGTCAGGGAGCCCTGCTGCGTGGTTTCACAGGACACCCAAGGCTGGGCAATGTGTGGCAGGACTGGAGTCCTACAAAGAGGCCCTGGGATGGCTACAAGTTCCAGGACAAACTGGTTTACACTGTGAGTTCCAGATGATCCTGAGTGAGGCGATCTCAGAAAACCCAAAGGAATAAAGTAAATACATAAGATGAAAGTCTATTAGCCAAATGGAAATATTTAAAGACCAGTTCTTACCACGTGCATATTATCCACGTTACCATATCACATCTTATCCAATGCATATTCACTTTATTGGTAATTTTAAGAAATAAAAATCCTTACCTGTTTGTTTTTGGCTGGTTTGAAACAATCTGGGCAAACTTCACCTCTGAAATAAAATTCAAGTTAAGATAAAAGTTTAGCCGGGCATGGTTGGTGGTGCACGCCTTTAATCCCAGCATTTGGGAGGTAGAAGCAAGTGGATCTCTGTGAGTTCAAGGCCAGCCTGGTCTACATAGTGAGTTCCAGGACAGCCAGGGCTAAATAGCGAGGACCTGTCTAAAAAAACCAAAAAAACCAAAACCAAAACCAAAAAAAGAAGAATGTTTAATGAGTTTATATTAGGTTGGCACAATTCAAATACATTTTATATACTTATATTTACATATCATATGTGTGTGTGTACATTTGTGAACTATATTGGTTTCCATGAGGAATCTTCTATGAGAGGTCACATTTAAATCTAAGGCATGACAAATTCTAAAATATTCACGAGAAAGAAAAATAATACTATCTTCATGAAAAAGAAAAGCACTACCATTTTACATAATTGACACTGTTTTTTTACGGGGTAACTTACAGGAAGTGGCAATCCTCAGCTGTTTCTGGATGAGCAAAGACCACACTCACTTCAAACAAGCTCTAAAATTATAAAGAACAGTTTTCAAATGAACAAAAGGAAACTAACAGCTAACAACTTATGAATGGAAATAAGTTAACTCCCAAAGGCTGGCTCAGAACAGCTACCAGGACCAGAAGCACTGGCGCCCCCGGCCTGCCTGTCTGCAGGCCGCTTGGAAGGGAGGCGCGTTACTTCTGTAAACTTCCAGACCCCGTCACCAACAGGACTGCCAAACCTCGTATGGTTGTGTTGTTTTGCTTTATTTTTGAGATAATAATATAATCCTAACATTTTTCTCTTCTCTTTCCTCCATCCAAACCTCCCCAGATGTCCCTCCCTCAAACTAAGTTTTTAAATCAACTTGTGTTGGGCAGATGCATACATCAGAATGAAGATGAATGAGAACTCCTCAGGGAGCTGGACGGAGATAACTAACACTCCCGAGAACTTCCGTGCCATTTTTGACCAGGTGTTAGCAGGACAAAAACATTCTGTTCAAGTCTGTAAGAACTCTGGATGAAGCCTGTGTATGTGCGCACGCGCATGTCTGTGTGTGCATGTGGGTGTGTACACACTTGTGTAGAAGCCTACATGGAGGCTAGAGGTCAACATCGGTTATCTTTTTCAGTCCCTCACCATGTTATTTTCTGAGCTGGGGATCTCTCACGGTGACTGTCCCTCACCGATTAGGCTAGGCTGGCAGGCCACAACGCCGCAGAGATCGGCCCCTGCGTGGCTTTTACATGGTGTTGTCAACCCCTCACTCAGGTCTGAAGGTCTGTGTGGCCAACACCACCCGAGTCATCTCCCCAGCCTGCAAGCTTGTCCCCAAAGTACTCACATCCGACTTTTAAAAAAGTGCTCTTAATTTTTGTTTCTTCAGAGTGATGCTTCCACATTATAAACTATCAAACAAGATGATTTTCCAATCCCCTTCTCTTCCCTCCCCCCCCCCCCCCCGGGGTGGAACCACAAGGCACGGGTATGGCTCTCACTAGCCAATTGTTAGCCATATTGGAAAGCTGTTGATCTCACTACAGACACCTTCAGCTGGAAGAACTGTGAGACAGTAAGTTATAGAAAATATTCCTATTATTAAAGAATTGCCGCAATAAGCACTTGAATAATTTCATGTTACATACATCTTATCTCTGCAGAGAATATTCAAGATTTGCTACTGAAGAAAAAGCTGTAAATGCCACATACCACTGCCTTCTCCTTACCCTGAGCTCACTAGATCCTTTACCAAGCTGATTATCTTCTCTGAATTATAATAATAAATGGCTTCTGTTTTGCACCTTATCCTAATACACATGATAAAAATAAGATGAACCAAGTGTTGTCCCCTAAAGAAAGCCAGCTGGAGTCTACTCCAACATCACTAGATCTTTTGTCTCTCACTTTCTTTTCTGACTCAGTATGTAAAATTTAAAATTATCTGCTTCAAAACTGAAATTTGAGGTAAGAACTGTGTATATTAATGACTTCTCGAATTTCCAAAGTACTTTCATGACTTCATTTTCTTTTCAGACCATCTGTGAGGTATTTTCACTCTTTATTCTTTCAGTATTCAGTCGTAGCACTTGAGAGGGGGAGGCAAAAGGTCAGGAGTTCTCAGCTACATAGTAAGTTCAAAGCCAGCCTGAGCTATGAGACCCTGTCTCAAAAAGCCAAAAACATGAAATGGATTATTTTTACTATGAGATGGAGTATGTAATTTAGAATGGTTTTAAAAACCTAACTGGTTTTTAGAGCACAGTGCTGGGATTTTACTTGAATAGGGTAGATCTAATATTCAGGAAACTTCCTTCTAGAGAAATGAGCAATGAGCTGAAGTCTGATTTCAGATGAGCTGGAACCGGCCCTGTTTTCACACAAGGCGGCCTGCTGAGCTGTCCCTGATTTCAACCCATTCGCACAACTGAGGCCAGATCTTCTCTAGAACTGGAAAAGCAGTCAGGTGTCCTAGCTTCAAAGGCAGCCTCTGCCAAGAAACAGAACTTAAGAACAAGGCCCTTCCACTGGACTGAATACCTACTGTCTATACATTTGAAAGCAAAAGTGCCACAGAAAACCAAGATTAGTCTGGAGCTGATTTGATATTTGCTTAGCTTTAAAAAAACAAACAAACAAAAGTGTGTGTATTTGTGTGTGTGTGGTTCAGAGAACAACCTGTGGTAATTGGTTCTTTCCTTTCACCAAGTGGAGGCAAGGATTGAACTGAGGCCGTGAGGCTTCGTGGCAAGCCCCTTTACCCACTGCGTCAGCTCGCTGGCTCCTTGCTCAGTTTTTAATACATTGCTTTGCATCAGTAAATCTGTCCTTTCAGCTAAAGTACAAAAAATTTCAGGGGAAGATTTACTTCTGGCTTTTAAGGTCGATGTGTTCACAGTATTTGTTATCGTCTTAAGTGTCTTGGATCACAAAGAGTAAAAACAAACAAGAGGCTTTAACATCAATTTAGACAGAACTAAATGAGCATTTAAAACCTTAGGAGGGCACAGAGGCGCACCCCTTTAATCCCAGCACTCGGGAGGCAGAGGCAGGCGGATCTTTGAGTTCCAGGCCAGCCAGTCTGGTCAGGACAAGCCTGTTCCAGGACAGCCAAGGCTACAAAGAGAAACCCTGTCTCGAAAAACAAAAAAATGAAACAAAACAAAAAAACAAAAAACAAACCCAAAACCTGAGGAGATCCGCCATTGAGTTATATAAAGAGGAGATGCTTTTGGCTAACCAAGTCTCTGCAGTAACAGGGTGAGCCCAGGAACCCAGAGATCAACATTGCCGATGTCTGATACCTTCCCATCAATGGGAACTCCAAGTTCCTCTGAGAACAGGGGGTGAGTTATCCATTTGAAGGCTTCTTTCAGCTGAACCACATCGTTTCTTCCCATAGACAGACTCTGCTTTCTGAATAACATAAGAATTAATTCACAACATGAAAAACTTCACTGTTCATGTTAAAGAAAAGGATGCATGCAGTCATCGGAGCATAATGAGTGCCTACTCTATGTCAGGCACCATTTTATACAGCAGAAAGAAGATCAAACAAAGCACGCAAAATTCCTCACCTCATAGGCCTATACTTTAGAGAGCAAAGAATTAACGTTTTTAGTGGCATGTGAGCCCACTTTTGAAGATTCAAATAAAAGCACATTCATTTATTTTCCTGAGTTGGAATCATGAGATTCCAAGATTCATACATTCTTGAAAGGTCAAAAAAAGATGAATGTTTACTGCCTGGAAATTCAAAAATACCCACTGCAATAGTTATATTCATGTTACAAATGTCTACAATCACCCCTCCTGAAAACGGGGCTTACTTATGGGAAATGAAGTAAAAGCTGTACTCTCCCCTCCTTACTGCTTAAGAAGAAACATTAAATCCTGAAGTATCTACATTCTAAAAGGTTTACCAGTGTAATATTTGTTAAATAAAAAATCTCACATTCCCCTAAATCTACTCATGAGCGTTTTGATAAACGCCCATTATGAGAACTCGCTTTAGCATGTAGCTTACAATTGTAATAGAAAGGAACTGAGGAAATATACAGTCGAGCTCTAGTATATATTACTAAAACTGTTCTCCTGTGTTGAGGACCCCCAAGCTGTTACTACAAACTAACAAGGCTGTATCATTCAAGTGGTTAACATACCCAACACTCCAACGGCTGATCACAGGACTGCTTACAGCAAGAGCCAGGCAGAATGCAGTCACAAATCATCCCTTGTTTGTTTGGTTTTGTTGTTTTTCTGAGACAGGGTTCTGTGCAGCCCGGCTGTGCTGGAACTCATTTGCAGGCCAGCCTCTGCCTCCAGCACGCTGGGATAAAGGAGTGTGCCATCATGACAGACTCTGAGTCATTCCTTCTAATGTCCAGTCTTTACTGATGGAGTTACTACCTACAAATGCTATCCCTTATAATAATTTAATTCTTCAAGACCAACAGAAAGTACTAACTGCAGGCAAGACACAAAAAGTCTTTTAGCTAATGGTTAAAATTAATTGATCTGGGAGAAAAAATATAAAAACTACTGTTCTGGTATAGCCTTTGCTAAGTTGTCCATAAACTAATAAGTAACCCCATACAGAAGAAAATAAAAGTATATATTATATATATTTTATATATGTATATATATACATATATATGTATATATACTGTTCCTCTAAAAATGCAAATTAAAAAGTTATCCATTCATTCTATATCCAGTTGAGACCATAACTTTGGTTATAGTTAAAGGTGCTTTGGGGCTACAGTTTAACAATGAAATACCCAGATAAATCTTTTATTTGACAGAATAGCAAGTCACTTGTCTACCATCAAGAGTTTATTCAAACAGTAAGTTTCATCAACTGTTTCTACTCCTCTGAATATCAGAAACACACACAAACACACACACACACACACACACACACACACACACATATATATGTTTATTTACTTTATGTGTATTGCTTGGAAACTACAAAACTGTGTGTCACCAGGTATGGAAACACAGGACTCTAATCCCAACACTCAGGAAGCAAAGGCCCTGAGTTCAAGGCCAGCTTGGTCTACGTCTCCAGTTGTAGGATAATAGGATAACCAGTACTACATGGAGAGACCCTGTCCCAAAATACAAAACAAACAAACAAACAAACAAAAACTGTGTGTCTGTGCACCACATGCATGCCTGTTGTCCAAGGTCAGAAGAGCGTGCCAGATGCCCTGGGGCTGGAGCTACTGATGGTTGTAAGCCTCCATGTGGGTACTTAGACTTGAACCCAGGTCCCCTGCAAGAACAAGTGTTCTTAACCACTGAGTCAACTCTTGAGCCCACATTTAGATGCTTTAAAAGACTGCTTGGATATTGTGTCAACAGTTTAATTACATTTGCATAAACTGACATTAAAGTTGAAGGTATGTAACTAAGATGTGAGAGCACGTCTTTGAGAATGTGGTTAAGAGTGTCCATGCTCTTGCAGAGGATTCAGCTTCAGTTCTGAGCATCTATCTTAGGGTGCTCACAACTGCCTGCAACTCCAATCCCAGGGGATCTGATGCCTTCTTCTGGACTATACATAATAATAAATCTTTTTTAAAAAGAAAATACATTAAACAATTTTTATTTATGTGTGTAAATGTTTTGCCTGCACATATGTATGTGCACTATCTGAATGCCTGGTGCCCATGCAGGCCAGAAGAACTGGAATTACAGATGACTGTGAACTGTTCTGTGGGTGCTGGGAATCAAACTTGGATCCTCTGGAACAGGAGCAGCAAGTGTTCTTAACTATTGAGCCATCTCTCCAGTCCCAAGAAAATATAGTTTAAAGGATAAAAAGTAGAAACAGAAAAATAAACTGTTTTAAAATTGTTTATAGATCTGAGAATCTGAAGAGCTACAGCAAAAGTCAATCCTGCGAAAACACTGTTCTTTATACATTAAAAAATCTGCCATGCCTTTAATCCCAACAGAGGCAGGGGGATCTCTATGAGTTCCAGGCCAGCCAGAACTATACCTTGAAACAAACAAACAAACATACATACACAGAAAAGAAAACTGGTTTATATGAACAATTTCAAAATTGGTAATCTTGCTAAAAAGTGCAGGTACTTTTCTCCTCCAGATTAAAAAACCAAAGCAAAGGCTTAATTGATAGCTTGAAATTCTTATTCATACATATGGCCAAAAAATATAATACTTAAGATGTTAAGGGTTTTTTTTAAGATTTTTTTTCTGGATGCCTCCCACCACTTAGGAGGCAGAGGCAGGCAAATCTCTGTGAGTTCGAGGCCAGCCTGGTCTACAGAGTGAGTTTGAGAATAGCCAAGGCTACCCGGAGAAACCCTGACTCAGTAAAAACCAAAACCAAAAAAAAAAAAAAAGTTAAGATTTTCAATCATGAAATTTGAATATGGCTAATAACTTTTCTAGTATAATTTTGGATGCATGTCTCCACAGAGGCCCGTATCTGGTTGTCCTTTAGAAGGACAGTGCTCCTCCTCAAGCAAATTCGGCCTTCTGTGACCTAACCGCACTTCCTATCCGCTGCAGTTGATCTCACTCTAGACACAGCACAGCCAGCAGTCTAGAGAGAAGCCAACCTAACACCCTAGCAACTATTCTGAGCGAAATTCCCTAAGTCAATTCCTTAATGGAAATTCTTAGTGCTCTTCTCACCCACAGTGAGGACCCTGGAGGAAGCAGCCTGTGTTTGTCTGTCCCAGGACTCCTATCTGGATCAAGTTCTAGTCAAAAAAACAGCTTAGGACTTCCTCCAGCCTCCACTGCGTTGGATCTGTTGGACGAAGTCCCTGCCTAGGCTTGTATTGCTTTTGGATACTCAGAATTAAACCTTGATTTTGCATTCTGGCAAAAAAAAAAAAAAAAAAGAAAAAAAAGAAAGAAAAGAAACAGCTTGGTACAGAACCCTTAGATGTGGAATGAAAGCAGTAACTCACAAGCAATGTGCATGCCAAGGAAAAGCATTTACAAAAATGGCATGTTCTCATGATGGCATTCTTTTTCTAAAAATAGATCAAAATTTGTCAGACCTAAATCTTAAGGCTTTGAAATTTAAGGACTAAAACTTCATTAAGCCTGCAACCGTTGATAAATATGTGGTTATTTCTCTTTTGAAAAGGGAAGATGTGGACATGATATAAAAAACAAACAATGTTAATTTTTTTTTTTTCTATAAATCTCAGAACCACAGATGAGCTTCTAACGCAGAAAGCTATGTTTTCTCCTGGTTTTTCTCACCAAAGTACACAGGAACCTCCTATAATCCATGGCCCCTTTTCAAGCACAGAATGCTTAGTTTTTTTTTTTTGTTGTTTTTCGAGACAGGGTTTCTCTGTGTAGCTTTGCGCCTTTCCTGGAGCTCACTTGGTAGCCCAGGCTGGCCTTGAACTCACAGAGATCCACCTGGCTCTGCCTCCCGAGTGCTGGGATTAAAGGCGTGCGCCACCACCGCCCGGCTCAGAATGCTTAGTTTTAAAAATCAAACAAAACCAAAAACTCTGAAGATTCAACAGTTTTTTTTTTAATGCACTTGATTTGAACATGTGAGGCTGTTTACCAAATTTTATGTATTTTTCTTCACTGTAGAAATAGCTCATTTAATTACACAGTACCACCCTAAAAAGGTGTACATTATATATAAGATTTAACATCATATTACATTCCTAAAATCCAAAGATCTAAATTCCAAAACCTATTTGTCTTCTAAGAGTTCCAGATAAGGGACTGATTGCTAATTTCTGTTTTCCGGGTGTTACCTGTAAATTCATTATTACTCAGATTTAACCAGAATTTTACTTTTTGTGGCTTATCATCTAGTTTTATTAATTTAGCTTCAAGTATAAATCTAAAATTTATTATCTATAAGATAACCTCCCAAACTACTTTCAATACATGCCTAATGCTTGTAAATACATATCTACAATCACACTGAACAAGTCCCTCTTAAAAGGCTGCTGTGTATGTAAGCAAACTGGACATGGTACATAATGAAAGCACTTACTGTGCCAATTTCTCTAGCTGCCGAATTTACTCTAGAAAAGGAGGGAGCAGTAGTCAAGTACTTGAAGACCCGGGTAGCTTATATTTAAATAGTGGTAAAAACCCCTACTTACCCCACCTCCTGTTTCACCAGCAACCACGCAGCATGCTGTAGACAATTCAGTCACGTCCAGGAAGAAGAAAAGAGGAAGAGTATTCAGTAAAATGAAGTTCCAACACCATTATCAAAGTGCTTAAACAATCTGTTAATCAAACTCCTCTTATGAGAAGAGGAGTCAGTCTTGAAGGCAGTGACCTCACGCAAGATTTCAGTTTGCAAGGCTGACCTGCTGTGGTCTAGGAATTCAAAGGGGCAAGGCCAACAAACTCAGCAAATGGGAGGTAGAGGCTGGAAGATTAGGAGTTCAAGGCTAGCCCTGGCTAGATAACAAGTCTGAGGCCAGCCTCCACTACATAAGATCCTGTCTCAAAAACAAACAGCCCAAAGAGACTCAGTACCCACACAGCTTCTAACACAGAGATCTGAATGGTCCGGGTTTTATTTTTAATAACACTATCTGACTCATCATATTCATGTGTATATGGTCAGGAACTAAATGTAGCACTTCTACCTGCAACTCTCTCTGGACCACCAGACCGGAGAACGGGGAAATGAAGAGCAGATATATAATAAAGCAAATACAGTAAAATGGTAATCATTATGGAATCTAATGTGGTTGATGTTTCTTTTAACTTTTTCATGCACTTAAAAATTCTATGTTAGAGAAAATATTCTGGGAAAAAATAATTAAAACTTGCAAAGAGTTGGGGGCTGAAGAGACGGCACAGGGATTATGAACATGGACTGCTCTTACAGAGGACCCAAGTCTGGTTCCCAGCACTCACACAGCGGCTCACAACCACATTTACTCTAGTTCCAAGGTTCCAGGGTCCTCTTCTGACCTCTGTGGATAACGGGTATGAACATATATACATATAGGCAAACACTTATATAAAACCTTTTAAAAATTCTTTTTCTAACTGCAAGATTCCTAAAATGGAGAATTAGATAACTCCTGTTATGAGGAGTAAATGATAATAATGCAAACTGCTTTGCATTGTAATGTGTGACACAAACATCTCTCAGTTTTCCATGACCCTCCTCCAGCTTATAAACAAGGAATGCCTGTCCTGCCGCAGCATATGCCACTGTGTGAACACAACAAGAACACATGTAGATCACTGATACCCACAGTCTCTGCTCTCATGTGTTACAAAAACGGCCAACCATTAGCATTCACATCCTCTTCAAGCAGTTATACACTGTGACACATACGCAGAGGCCTGTTCTTCCTAGCAGGACACTAGAGACGCCTAAACCTCAGGACCACTCAGAAACATTACGTGTCCCAACGTAAGCCAAGTTCCACAGAGTACTCCCTAGTTAGGAGAAGCGCTCGGCATGCCTCAGCAGCTGCTGAATCTGCTGCCTCTCCACCCCCACCTTCTGCACTGAGACTCCTTCCTGTCCTCCACTTACTCAGCCTTTTCCACCGTGGACGGGCATGGCTCTAACAGATAAAGTGAGAGAACGAACTAAGAGTGTCACAGTTTAAACTTCGGGATGACTAAAGGTTATGACAAAGGGGCGCTGCTTAGCACACTGTTCCAGAGCAAATGCTGTGGAGACTGACAGGACTTCAAGATTAGAGAAGTAACAATGACTTCCCGAAGCTGAAATGTCCTAAAGAATGCTGTCCTGCCCTTCTTTATAATACAAGAGATCAATAATCTTATTTCTCTATATTGAATATTAATATTTGCCCTGCAGATATATTGTGAGAATTTGTGAAATCATATATATGCAACCAAGTAGGGTTCCTGATACATACTTAATATAGTTAATAAAGCAGTAGTGATCACACTAAGAATGCCAAATTCAAACTACAACAACAAGGAGCATTGTTGTTACCTTGAAATCTCACCTAAGTTTACAAACAATACAATTCAGATATCCCCCTTAAAAGTTTGCAGGATTTGATCCATTCCTTCACACCCCCAAACTGCCACGGTAATTCTGAAATCTCTCTCATTGGTCCAGTCTGAGCTGTGGAAAACTTTCTTTCTGACACAATCTCAGACTCCTCTGAACTTTCGTTGTTGCTTTGACACAGGTTTTCACTGTGTAGCCCTAGCTGGTCTGGAACTCACCACGTAGACCAGGCTGGCCTTAAACTCAAGGGATCTCCCTGTTTCTGCCTCCCAAGTGTTGGGATTAAAGTTGTACACTACCCTGCCTGGCTCCTCTGTACTTTTCAGTGACCTTCTTGTCTCTTCTTTTGAGCTTCTTCCACGTGATGTCGTCAGTGTACGAAGTATCCTAACTATGATGATAAAGCAGCAGAAAACTGGAGGTTGCCAAGGGAAACCAGATAACCATGTGTAGTACAAAATGAATCAGAAGTCCTTGGCACCTGAGACTTGCTAACAGTTTTCCTTCCTAGCCTCTGCAGGCTCCCTGTTCAAGCATGCTGCAGGTTAGACAAACTAATGCCTCAGAGGAGATAAAAGGCTGAATCCCAAAGAAGTCAGTACTGCTCAGTTATCCCATTTTACCACATGCTGACGATGCCCTGGACCTGTTTCTGCCTAGGAAAGAGAAGCACACCTCTCCCTTTCAGATCTCCAAGGTAACTTTAATAAACACTATTCTTTAGTCAGTTAAAAACCCATTGTCTAGAGTAAGCAATTAAACTCTTCTGCCCAACAGAATCAAATGGCATTAAAGCTATCAAGCTTAATCAAATTTGATACCAGAGGCATTGTGTCACCTCCTGAAAATTCAGGAGCCACACAATTTAATCCTAGACTCAGTTTAACTTTCTCTGAGAATTCCAGCTAGGCAAATCCTAACCAGGAAAGTTGACTAACTGTTGGCCGAGGTGTTGTGTTCTCTGGTAACACAGCCTAAATGCTGGTAGGCGGCCCCCGGCTGGAATCCAGACTACACAGAAAGGAGGGGGTGAGCTGAACACTGACTGTGGACACAGCATGACCAAGCTGTGCCCGCTGTGCCTGCTTCCCCATCTCCAGGGCCATGCATCTCCCCGGACTCTGAGCCAAAGCAGCCACCCTCCCTCCGTTAGGTCGCCCTCGTCAGTTATTCTGTCCCAGCAATGAGACAAGTAATGAAGACAAATGAAACTGGAAACGTCGGAATGTTTTGAGTGTCAAATCAACACGGACCCACAGACAAACCATAACATAAGAACTGCCACATTTACACACATGCAGCTTCTCACAAAGATGTACAAAAGGTACACTCGATCCTCGAGTCTTTCATAACTCATCAAGTTATAACCATTTTCACACTATCGCTTTCTGTAAGTGAAGTGTAAGAAGAAGGTAAAGAATTGCTTGTACCAAAGCATGTATCACACGTGAGGAAATTTAGCACAAGAAAGTCCTAAGTTCCAGGGGTCTGGAGGAGTAGGAGGGGAGGCCTAGCTTGAATGTGATCAAGATATACTGCATACATGTAGGAAATTGTCAAAAAATAAATATAAAATATTCTAAAAAAGAAAGTCATACATCCCAGAAAAATGAAGAGAGCATGACCAGCCTATTTTTTCATTCTTATAGATATCTGGGTCTGTAATTCCTGGTAGAGTGAGAACAAACACCTGTACATAAGGTAGGCACTATAGCTCTGAACATCGCAAATCACTTGCAAGGTAACTTATTGTCTTTAGCCCTTGGTACCTTAACCATAAGGTAAAAGGATTCAACATTTTATTACTGGGGTATCTCACTGACATGCAGCAAGGGAGACAAGTCTCCGTCCATGAGCAAGCCCATAAAATAAAGGCGGGAGAGGGAGGAAGACAGCAGTAAGCACAGTAACGCAGTAATTAGTAACGTTAATGGGTTGTATCTGAGGGGCAGGTAAAGGGCCCTCTGTCCTACACCTGAGCTTGGAGGAACTGGTTACTAGAAGCACTAGTAATCAATGGGGAAAGTGCACTCCAAATGGTGTATTCTAGGTACAAAGCCAAGAGGGTGCTAGTAACAGGCTCTGGGAGCTCTAACATGGCTAAGGCTGTGTGACCGGGAAAGCAAAGAAAGACACAGTGCTCAGCTCACAGGACCACTGTTCCCACACAGGGACACAGTAAGATTTCACACTAAGGCAAATTTAAAAGAATCCCATGCATGGCACAATCATATCTGTCTCCAGGAATGCTCAGTGTGATTGCGAACCAAGGAGGAAGATGGGAATTGAGCAAAACGAAGACGATTGGCAATAAACCAGTGATCACGCAAGGACTAATGTCTCCAGTACACCTGCTGGGGACTAAGCAGGAGAGGAGAGCTCACCAGTAAGGAATGGGGCAGCACGTCCAGAGGACCTGAGTCAAGTCCCAGCCCCACGGCAGCTCACAACCTTCTGCGACTTCAGTTCCAGGGGTCCAATGCCCTCTTCTGGCTGGTGTGGGCACTGCATGCACATGGTGCACAGACACACACATACATGCAAAACATTCACACACATTAAAAAAATTAAACAGGAGAGGAAGGCACAGATTAGCAGGACTTCCACACCAGCAGGCATTTGGGAGTTTCTAAATACAACCAATGTCATTGAGACCCAAAGCCTTCTGAATCACACACAGCTCTTCAACTCAATACAAACATAGACTCCTCCCCGTGGGGAATGGGAACAGCTGTAGGGGCAGCTAGAGAGGCACTAAATATACCTCCTGCTCACAACTATTTCACACACACACACACACACACACACACACACACACACACACACACACACACACACACAGAGAGAGAGAGAGACAGACAGACAGACAGACAGACAGAGACAGAAAGAATGAGATTTTCTTGCCCCTAAAGTGGCCAGTTATCAACACTTTAATAAGAACCCTCCCTCTTCCCCACCCAAGATTCCCTTCCTCCTCACTTCCCCACCCCAAGCCTGGTATGACCATGGGAACCATCTGTCCCATCAACGCTCGCTCCTCACCTTGTGTCTCCGGCATGGAAGGCAGACAGAGGGTAAAGGACTGGGAAGCACAGCTTGGCCCCGCCCACTCAGCTGAGAAGGAAGTCCTGTACCACCCTTGCCTCCATTACCACCCTAACTCAGTCCTATGCTCT